GGCCGGGAGGTCCTGCCTTCCCCCCCACCTCCCTCACCACCCCGCAGCGCTGAGGCCGAGGCTTTTCCACCGGGAACCTGGGACTCCAGCCCTTCGTTATGGGTATTGCTTACCCCCCGTCTCCTTCCAGGGTCGCCTCCGGCCGAGCTGCTGGGTGGGGTTTGCTGAAGGGGGCAGGGAGGGCCGGGAAGGGGTAGAGGGGGGAGAAGGGGGTAGGGGGGTGCAGCTTGGCTTCACCAGGCACCTGCAGCTGAGGCTAAGTTTTACCCTCAGATTCAAGACACGGAAATTTGGCTGTTCCTACGCGGCTGAGCTGGGCGGGCTGTGTCCGTGGGTTGTTTTGGGGGGAGCCTTTTGTGATTACCAGTTTGACCCCCAAGCAGGGTCTCTGATGAGCTTGGAAGACTTGCCATTTGCAGTGGTCATGATTTTATGTGCACACTGCTGATGACACTGACCGAAGTTCTGTTCTCTTCTTCAATGTCCCTGCGTGAAAGTTGAAGGTGGGCAAACTGCATGTGACAGGACTGTCTGCAACATGTGACTATGAGGAACAGTGGGTGAATTCCTGTAGAAGGAGAAAAAGAGGCATTTGTGCAGAATCCCTTTCAAAGCCATGATCAGGGGAAATTGATTTCTCCGTTTTTAAACGAGCTCTGTACAGCGATGCTCACAGACCGCAGCAGTGGTAGGGAAGCATTTCAGCTTGTTGGTGATGAAATGAGGCCTGATTGTGCTACAGGTGCTGGGGCTTTAAATCTCCTAGTTGAGGTAATGGCACTGATAAGGGACAATAGAGCATTACCAGGCTGTCGCACAACTCTGACCAGGCCTTTGGAAAGCAGAGGCCCCAGGTGATCCCAAAAGCCCAAAGTCCCAATGGACTCAGTGGTGTAAGGAGCTTTTTTTGCCCTGAGGAAGGAAAGGGTGCACGGCTTCATCCCAGCACAGGGAGGTTTTCCACCTATTCGTTATGCTGTGTGCGAGCGGAAGATACATATATAGAGGTAGTCGGAAATACTTTAGCGTTATCCAGAGACAAAGGCAGTTAATCCAAGATGCCTTTTCCTGTGAACAGCAGCAAAATAAAGGATAGCTTTTTATGACAGCTATTTGAAAGACAGTTTTATCATAAGTTTTTATGACAACAGTGTTCTGCTCCTCTCTTCTATTAAGGAAAATACACTGAAGCTGGGAATTCATTTCAGTAAGTTTGCCATTAGTAAGGGATCGGTATTTCAGGAAAAAGGAGAAAAGAATTCAAGATCTTCCTAAAAAATCACATTCCGAAAGCTCTGATTGTAATGCACTTTTCTGGCTTCAGGACCAATGCAAAATGAAAGGAAAGAATAATTTTATTTACACAAAAGATATTGAAAAAAACAAAAAACCAAAGAAGGTAATTTATGGCATGGCAACCTTACTGGAAGCCGTTGTCAGTTCAGTCTTCTGAAAATCAGAGCTGGAAAAAGCCATTTCAGACCATCTTCCCCACCAAAGTGGGGCAGGATGAGCTGTAGCCTAATGCATTCTCCTTCTTCAGCAGCAGTTGCCTGAGAGCTCCATCCAAGCTCCTGTGGTCATTTACCTGCTATGTGCTAGCCTTTTTATTTTAACAGGGAATAGTCTGTCACCAGACTGGTACGTGCTGGCAAAGTTGATTGAAACCAAGTGCCCTGCAGTGACTGTATGACTAGCGAGTCATACAGTGAAGGCTTAGGCTGGAGTTGCAATTAGAGAAGGAAATTCATTGAGCTAAGGCTTGGCTTTGTTGCTTTGATTGGGATTCTAATTTCTTAGGTTAACCTAGTGTAATTAGCAACAAATTCACCTTTGATTTAAACCTGCTGATTCACACATTGCAGGTTGGATGGCAGTTAGGTGACTGACTTAGGTGGACATGCCTTTGTTCTCAGAAACATTAGAGGGGAATCTCTCCTGAATCTAGGACTTTTGTTTTGGAGACCATACAGGTCTGGTAAATGTTGATATAGTCTTCCAAAACTACGACTGTTGGTTTTATTAGCAGTCAATGTCTCCTCTTTTCTTTCTCACTGTGTCACGGCAGAACTGCAAGGGGCTGGAATCCTTTTAGCATTTTAACACTTCCTTGACAAACATCCTGCTGTTCTATCGCTGCCCTCCTGAAGTGTAAGAGCTCATTTTTGAGGGGAGAAGAACATCTCCAAACTCAAGGAACTATTTGCACTTGTGTTGGGTGACATCTGCTTTACTGCAAGCATCACTGAATGCAGATCTACAGCCTTTTAACCCTATTCTCTAGGGCAACAATTTTGTGCTCTAGTTCTTCCAGGCTCTCATTTGTCACCTTTTTTCAAGGAGTATAAGATGTAGCTTCTCTCTTAAGAAAAGCTTTGGTTGCTTACCCTACACGCAAAGATATGTGCGGAAATCCCCACAGGGTAACAAAAACCTTCCCCAGGGAAAACATCCTTGAACTAGTTTAACTGAAAGCTCCCAATTTCACAGTGCCTTTGGCTGGAAAATTTAAATGTTCAAAGGGCTGTGGCATGATTAATGATTTTCTTGTCTCAGCCTCTGATGCAAGAGTGCAGACTCTCCTCCTCCCCTCACTGCTTGCATAGATTGGGTTTATAGGAGTGACTGAAAACAGACTAGGGTGTTGGAGGAAGAAACAGAGACCTATGGTGGAAAACAGAGAAAGAAGGGCTTCTTGGGGCTTTTCCATTCTTTGCCCCTGCAGCTCTGTGCAGATCAGTCATCTGTGTCCCTTCCAGGCAGTGGACCTGAGAAGATGGTCTTGATTTTTGCACCAGATATAGTTCTGGTTTGGAACTGGGCTCTGACTCGAGGACATCACGCTCCTTTCGGAGAACTCTTGCTGGACACGTGGTCACTACTTCTCTCAGCTCTTCTCTCTGGGAGAATTTTGCTCTAGGTTCAGTTCACTGCACTCACAGGTTTTTGCACCACCTGAGTCTGTTTTTTTAAGTTAGTTTCTATGAGGTTTCATTCCAGTTGTTTATAATGACTGTCTTCTCCAGACCCTGCACTGCAGCATTTCCAAGCTCAGTATGAAAACAGCGTAGACTCGGTGAGACTGCATTTCTGATGTATCATCGTGCTGCAAATCCGTGATCTTTGCAGCTAACCCAAAAGCTGGGGAAGAGGGAGCAATATCCTCTCTTCCTGCAGCTAAAGATCCTCAAACAAACACCACAACCATTTTAACTGAGTTGAACGCCTCCAGGGGAGATAGTGATGTTTTGTCACACACAGAAATAGGGACATGGCAAAGCTGAGGTACCATTTCCATTGCTTTAATTGCTGAGTGGACAGCTCAGGTCGGGTGCATAGAATTATCTCCTACCCGCAGCTTCACTGACCTCAGGATATCCAACCCTGTCTTTCCCTGCTGCCTTCCCTCATTGTTTTAGAATGGTGAAAGCAGGTGAGGTCTGAGGGCTGGGCCCCTGAGAGCTGTAAGGCAGCAGGCACATATGCAGAGAAGTGTCTAGCTTATCCCTCTTCTGCTTTTTGGTGGGTTAGGAAAGAGTTAAATGACAACAGAGGGAGAGGCTGTGCTATTGTTCAGGCATCCCTGGGTCCAGGGTGGCTGATCTCTATTCCCGGATCTGCCTCTGGCTTCCTGCATGACCTTGGACCGGTCACTTACCTTTTCTTTTCCTTAGCTCCCAGATTATGACATGGAAATCATTCTCTTCCTGTGGTGCCTCGTTCCCTGCGGGTTTCAGGGTGGCTGAGATTCTCTGGTGGGCGATGATGGGAGGAAGAGAACACGTTTCCACTGGAGAAATATTTACACAGAGGGTGGCAATTTTTGGACGTGTTCTTGTTCACTCAGATACAGCGCGGGCTGTGCATATGGTGATATTTGGTTTTTTTAGTAGGCAAACCTGTGGTGAAAGTCAAATTCCATTTGTCGTTGATGCAGCTGCCCGAGAGCAATGCCAGCTGCAGTGATCCTTTTCTTCACTAGATGGTGCTTTTGATCAAAGATTTGAATAACGGCAGTTGCTTTCTGCACAGAATTTCCTAATTTTTCTTCCCCAGTCTCCATTCCTTCCCCTCTTCTTTCTGTGCTTCAACACTACGGGGGACACTCAGTAATGCTGGATATTGAGCAAGGCTAATCTGGTGGTAATACCGGCTCCAAGCCACCCGCACCCACCAGCCAGCTTGTCTTCTGGGCTTTGGTTTTTGAAGCGTGTATCAGTGCTGCTGGGCTGTGGCAGAGAATTGAATTCTTTCCGTGTTTTCTATTCCCATAAGGAAAAGGCTTCAAAGAGCAGGTCCCCTCCCCCTCTCTGCTGGTGAAGGGCATTTAGGGAAGCTGGGAAAAAAAATCCAGCTCTGACAGATGCATTTATTTAACAAACCACTGCCTTTCCCTACCTTAGCAGAAGATTGGTTGTGGTTTTTTTTTTTTAAAGGGAATTGCTGCTTTTATATCCGTCTTTGTATTCAGGAGATTGTTACCTAGCCAAGGTCATTGCTGCTGTATGCCAGTATCAAGCAGAGAGCCAGCCTCCTCTTCCTTGAAGGAGCACTGATCTCGGTAAGGCTTCCCTAGGTAAAGAACGGGAACAGGCTTGAATCTGCCAATGCAAGGTCCCAAGCCGCTGCTGGGTAGAAAAAGCCACAAGAACAGCCTTCCTTTTTATAAAGGCAGCAGAGGAGATGAATGAAATTGTAATCAAACATTTCCTGTGCAGACACGCACGGGGATCGGGTTATGAGCTCGTACAGTATGAGGCACAGCAGGGTGTGTGGTGGTGCGCTGTCATCATCCGTGACAGCGTGTGCAGGGCAAATGGGGCTGCCTGCCCCCAGCACCCCAACCTGGCACACACACAGACGATAACCATCCCGTGCTGGGCCCCTTCCGAGTCTGACCCGAGGCTCTCGCCCCTCTGGCACTCGTCAGCAGCGATGGTGTTTGTTCACATTCGTGCACTCGCAGGGCTACCTGCAGCCCACTGTGCCCGTGCCTTCGTGCCAGGCTGCCTCGCACGCTGCAAACGTGCATCCGGACACTCCCATCGGGGAGGCTGCAAGGTTACATCACGTACAGCTCCCTCCCCATGGAATTTTACAAACGTTAATGAATGGGGCTGGATTGCTGCTATGCCACCAATCAGCCATGCACAGATTTATAGTCTGAGGCCAAGGGAGATTATGCTTCTGCCTGTGGCACTGCACCAGTGGCAGCAGTTTCACGTGTGTGCTGACAAGCCCACAAGGCCGGTGCCCGCAGCAGCCCTGCCCTCACGTGCTGGATGTTACGCTTATGGCAGTGACGTCCCCACAGCAGGGACACAAGCTATGCTAAACTGCAGTGTGACACAAAACTCCTCTCGGGACTGGGAGCTGACAGTGATTTCTTTGTCATTCCCCTGTTGTCATCTTCCCACAGCACATATATTTGTTCATCATCAGTAAGATATTGCTGATGACTAAACCCTGGGTCTGCATCACAGAGAAACTGTTTGAAGGAGCAGCCCAGAACTGCAGGGTTCAAACTCGTGGAAGATTGAGAAGTGGGGACAGTGCATTTCCTCACATCTATTAGATCTGGAGAGCAAGCCACTCTCCCAGTCCCTCCTGGCTAAGAGAATTGCATCAGTGGTGCGTGTAGATTTTTTTTTTTCCTGAAATGTGTTTGTTTTATTGTTTTCCTGTGATGGAATTTGCCAGCATGTCCCAAATTATGTGGTTCTGAAATTTAAAAGCAACATACCTGTGTGGGGGAGAGAATGAGTGGTTTTCACTTTGCAATCTGGCTCTTCCCTCCCTCCTCCCTTTTCCCCACATCCCCATGTGTTGTGGAGCCAGCTGCTCCCAGAATAGTTTGGGAATGAAATGTCACCGTTTGAAACTGGTGAGTCACACTTTTTGAAAGGGGGGGAGAACGGGGTGGGGGGGGGAGAATATGAAATCTTGCGGTGTGGCAGAGCGTCTCCTGGTGAGTACAGAGAGATTTTTAAAACCACAGACTCCCTGTTGATGGAATTCAGGGGCTTTGAGTAAAGGCTGCTGGGTGTGTCCATGTTGCTTTTTGCAGGAGGATCCCAAAACCCTCTGCAAACTTTAATTGTCTTCCTTAACATGCCCACTGCAGCTGGATCCTAGTGCCTCCTCCAGCAGGACTAGGTTGTATCTGTCTGACAACACACCTACAGTGACTCTCTTAATTAAGTCTCCCCGCACTGCTGTGAGGTATGTAATTACAGTGAGACCTGACTTAAGCAACCACTCGAGGGACTAACAAAAAAAAATTCTTTACCAGAACAGGGAGGAACAGAATTCTACTGAATACATTTTTGGGGAAGTTTGTTAAACAAAGGGGGTTAATTATTCTGGTTTCTTCTCAGTGTATCCCAGTATTAGGATGATGCCTTTAATATAATGTGTGTTAACATAATCAGGGGTTTTTTTCTTTTTAGAAGGATACTTGAGATCTTTTGTCTTTTAACAGAGATTGCTATAAAAAAAGTGTCAATTAGTGCAAATGGTGGCAATGGTCTTGCGAAATGAACTATTGTTTATCAGAAGCTGAGTAGTTGTCCCTCCCTGCCCAACCCCTGTCCAGTGGTAAAAATATTTAGTCAAAGGGCAACATTCTGGATTCCTGCTCCAGGGTATTATAACCACTCATTTTCATGACTCTACATAGCAGCTCTGCCTAGTAGGTACTAGGAATTGTGTATCTTGAACTAAAGTACCACAGTAGTTGCAATACTAATGGTGTCTCCCAGAGAGCTCTGGCAGTTCCAGGCGGACTGATTTTCGATGTCGCTGCCCCAGCCTGCTGTCAGAGATCTCTATCCAGTACTCGAGGTGGCAGGCCGGACCGTGTGTCACCATTCTCAGCCCAGTGTATTAATATAAACTGCCAACTATTTCAGGTTGCATTACTACTCCATGCGCTGAACTGTGGTGGCCATGGAGAAGATATGCCACCCATTTTGCAGCCTCTGCTTCAACAGTAATGATCTCCAGCTGAAGGACAGGAAGAAGCTGGAAATAGTAATATCATGAATAGTCCCACTATGGGCTGGCAGCCCTCCCCTCGAGTCCCACCTTCAGTGGCATTCCGAATACATGCTGTGAGTAAAACTCCCAAATTGCAAGCCAAGCTATGCAGCTAACTTGGTGGGGATTTTGCAAGCACAAGCCCTAGGGGGGGTTGATGCCATCTCTGTCTATTATATTTGGAAGACTGAGCTAGTAGCAAGATTTTATGAAGTGTGCTTTTATATCTCAAATTTTAGACAGTGTTTACTAGAAACCCACATATTCTGTCGTCACAGGATTTGACAAAAATAATCTCTGGCTGCAGAAATTTGCTGCAGAGTCTAAGATTTTGTTTAAGACGAAATAAAATAAACCCTGTACTTCACGGCCTCAGAGACAACCTTGAGAAGTCAAATCTGGGTGCCATTCCACATGCCTTTTTCTCAGCAGCAAAGCCTGCCTATCTGCCCCACTCGTCTCTTTTTTTTTTCCCCCTTTTTTCTTTAACTCAGACTGTTTCAGTGATTTGGCTTGCACTGCAGGTCTGCAAAGAGTTGAACCAGCAACACTGCAGGAGCTGTAAGTTGCAGCAGCGACGCAGGAGTGAGCCAAGGAACCAGGTAAGAAAAGGGTACCCCCACAGGTCCCTCCTATACCATCAAGTTTGAACTTTCAGATATTCCAAACCAGTAACTCTAAGAGATGTGAATGCCAGTGGACCGTCAGTTCTGAAGCATAATGACAGTATTTTTGCTCTTGATACTGTCGTCTTAGCCTCTGTTTCTTCTAAGATAGGTGTCTGCCTGGCGTGTTTACCTCCTCAGATCCCTAATGGGGATTCCCTTTAGCTTGCAGTTTCCTGCAGATAACTCCCAAGATAATGCTGGGCATGAGCAGTACAAATACTCCCTATTGACAAGTAGCTTATTTCTTAGAATGAGGTTACTGTGATTTCGAACTGAGTAACAAAAGATGAATTTACTGAGTATACAACTCATTGAAGTACTGAATTCAGTAAGCATTTGAAATTTCAAAGATAGGTGATGATTTCTTTAAAACTTAATGGATTTTTGCCCAATCAAAGGATTTTGCCTCATCAGCTACAGTGGGATTTCCCAGGGTGCCTGAGACCACACATCCGCAGCCACTTAGACCTTGGCAAAATTGATACATAATGTGTGGAAGTCTTCCTAACATGAACAAGCATTTCAGTTCATTCTGAAAGGCCAAGGTTACTACTGATTTGTTTGGGGGGGGAAGAAAGGACAACCAAAATGACGTTGGACATTCATTAGTGAAGCATTGTCAGAACACAATAGAAGAACAGACAAAAGCCAGTCCAGATTCTTTGGTATTTCCTAAAGGGCTCCCTCTGGCACATGGCTGTTCCCTGCCAATCCTTTTGTATTGTTTTTGATAATGAATAGAAGCTGAACAGATGATTGTTGCATTGTCCACTAAGTGATTCATTTACATTAAATAGTGCTCCAAAAGTAGGCTTTGAGTGGACTTTTTTAGTCACTTAAGTTATTTATTTGTACAGTTTAATTACTGTCTTTTAACTCTCCACTGTACATAATTATTTCCTGATTGCTTCAGCTAAATTAGAGGGGGTGTAACTCCTCTAAAGTCAGTGGTCCAACAAGCCCTGACATAAGAAGCAGCATCTCTGCATTTTTAAAGGTGCTTAATTTTGAATGGCCACCTCTAGAAAACTGCTCCTGATTTGGGAAGGTACTGAGGCTCTTAACCATCTGCAGGTCCCTAGTGTCCTTGGTCCCCATCTCTGAAAATTGGGCTATGAAGCACAAACTTTGCTGCATAAACCATCACAGTTCCATTGATTTCCTCATTAATCTCTCAACTCCTGCTGCATGTCCAAGGTTTCTTTATTAACTCGGGGCTTCCATTACAATTTCTGGCTTTTCTTACAGAGGTCAAAAGTTTTGTTTTGCTTTGTTTCGTTTTGTTTTGCAGGGTGTGACAGATGTTACGTGCTTGAGGGCATATTGACAGTACTGCAGTTAGAAGAATTTCAGTGTAAGAAGCTATTTAGACCCAAATCCACATCCAGAACTGCAGGTCTGCTAATCTGGATGTACTAATGGGTGGGAGAGAATGACACCCACTGAAGGGCTTTTTGATGGTTGAAGAATCTAAGGAAATCCACACTCTAGGCCTTTCCATCTCCATTTCCATCTTTCCAGCTTGTCTAAGAAGTTGCATGACTTCGCATTTGTTGAATAGCTGTAGTTACATCTCAAAAGCCCTGGTTTCCTAGTTATTTTCTGTTCACCATTCGATGTACCACAAAGAGAGGTTCAGTGTGGGCTTTCGCTTCTGCCTGTGTGGAAAAAATTGAGTCCAGGGGAAGGCAGCAAAATAGTGATGCAGAGAAGAGAAGGGAACAGTCCTAACAGTGTTGAGTTGTTCATGTAATATGGCCTAGGTTTAAATCTCGCAGGGCAGAGCAAACCAGCCTTTGCAGTTGTTTCTGACATTTTCTCAGTCCCTTCTCCATCCACTTAGGAAAACTGAAATCACCAGTCCTGTGCCTAGATATAAAAGAAAGAAGTTTGTTTTAAAGAGTTTATATGCCTGTACCTGCCAATATGAGGCAGGAAAAAGACTGACTTTTTGCAAGCAGTCTCCTATCAACTCATAAGCCAAACGAACAGGGAGGACAAGTACGCTCCAGTACCACTGTAGCCTTTCAGCTGTGAAAGACATTGCACTACAGCTCTTTGCCATTCTCTACTGCTCTAGCTATGGAACCTGGGCAGAAGCTGCTGCGGGGCTACCTAAGGTTTAGCCTTCTGTGTGTGTTACATTTCTGTTATCCTGTTTCAGAAACTGCCTTTGCCCGGTCTGTGATTAAAGCAAACTATCCATCCCTGATGATCTCCCTCAGCTTTAGCCCTCTTTTGGGTTATACAGCATCTTCACAAACCCAGATAAAACTCAGCAGACACACAAATAAAACCAGCCCTCCCTCTGCATAAAACCACAAAGTATTGCTAGGGTTTTCCCCACTGCCTTCCACTTTAACCCTCCAGCATTGCTCTCCTTGTATTCTTGTTCTCCCAGGAGTCCACATTGCTCTGTGTTTAGTGGCAGGCGATGAAATCAAACCGTGCATTAGCAGCTCCATAATAGCTTTCTTAGTGGAACCCAGCTTCCTTCATTAATCCAGAAAATGAGAGTTGTTTTCGTACATTTGAGAAGCTAATTATTTAAGTGCTGGGAATTAAGGCTCATCAGATACTGGAGACTGATTTTGGTTTTGCTTCCCAGGGGATGGAACAAAATGGAGTAAGCTGGTTTTGCACAGGTGTGCAGTATGGTAACTCACCAGTACTTGGAGCAGGGAGCAACAGTGTGCAGATCCTTGTCTACCTTAAGCATAAAAGCCCCTCTCTTTGTACATCCCTTTTCTTCCAGATGTCATCTGATGATTCTTCCCATTCAAATAGATTTATTAAGTCATCACTGATCATATAAATCTATAGCTTTATTTTCTTCTGCCATGGAAAGATGTACCCCACTTGTAGTTGACCTAGCCTGAATATTTTGCAATAAAACAATAATGCCTTGTCTCAGCTGGGTTTTTAGAGAGGGAAACCAGCTCACATCAGTTGTCCTTCTATAATCAGCTATCCTTCAGCCGTACCTTTGATCACCATAGTCAGAGAGGTGTTTAGATAGAACAGCTGCTACCTAACCTAACAAGGGACCTTCCAGTGGCTTGGGAAACAGAAGATGAATTGGGTGAAAACCCCCCTCGTCGGTGAGAAACCACAGATGAGGACGGATCTGTTGTTCTAAACAAAGTTTTTACAACAGAATGACTTTCAACAGTAGATGGGTGCTTTTGACATTCTTCCCAGAAAATGACAGACAATCTGTTGATGCTATTGCCAATAACTATATGCTAAAGAATGGGGATTTGGTTCCGATGGTGTCACTGGACAGATCCAGTCTTCATTACAAGCAGCTTGCCAAGAACAATTTTTTCATTTTTATTGTGATAGCCAATGCCCTGTGTTGTCTTCAGAGACTAAGGGAGTGAACTTTTCTGTGTGTTCAGTTGAAGCCAGATGTTAAAGTATTGTCTGGATGTAATTGACTTGACAAATACCAGGAGTGACATTTTAGCTCCATTTGAATCAGTGGCAAAACTCTTGTTGAGTTCAGCTGGGGCCAAGATTTCAGCCTATGACAGTGCTGATGGGAAATCTAACAAATAAATAATCTTCAGAAAAATAAGTGCAGTCATTCTGTTTTTCTAGGACTCTTTTCAACCTATGGGACATGAATCCTTGGAATTCTGTGCACTACTATGAAGAAGTCTGCAAAAGATCACAAAGACAAGGAAGCTTATTGTCAGTAGATTTAAATGAGCTATACAGGGGTCCACAATTCCAAGGGAAAACTTCAGGAGTTGATTACAAAGTTCTAAGTCAGCTTGATCCATTGAAATCCACCTATCTTTGCACTCCTTGGACTAACAAGTGTCCTTCTGGCAGGAAGGTTCTGTGCAGCTGAACTAACCCTTTGTCATTGAGTATTGTGGATTCAAGAAGCTGCTCTGTCCCGTATACTAGGACTGAGCCATGTGGAAACCTCTGATCGGGCACCTATCAGGTGCTCTTACCAATGGATTGGGCTGAAAACAAAAACTTTTAGAGAAGCTGGTGTAGCTGGCATTATACAACCAATTCAGTTTTGTAGCAAGGTCAATACTTTGTCCCTGAGATAAATGAGCAGGTACACAGTGTTCTCCCTACAGACTGTGAGGTGTCTGAAGTATTTCAGATGAACTTTATTAGGAACTAAAGGCAATCAGCTTCAGGCAGAATCGTGCAACAGATTCTACCTGTATCTCCAGAGGTTTAAGCCCAGCAGTCAGACATACAACCTGATGTGCTTTAAAGGCTTTGGATTAAGTAATGGTAGTACTACTGGGATGAAAGTTCATAATGCTTAGATGAAAAAAGGCTTGCGCTAGGAAATAAAAATCACTGAAGATTTAAAAATAGAGTAATTTTAAAATTTTTAAAGTGTTCTGTTTAGGATTTCAAAAATTTTTCTGTGTGGGTTTTGGTAAGCAGAGTTGTTTTGCAAGTTCTTTCCTGTTAGATTGTGGGAGAATTTGTCTTTTTTAGGGTGCCTGAAAAGCAGGAGAGGTACTGAGGAATCTTCATGTGGCTCCTGAATAGCCCCCTTCAAATCCACTTTTGGAGCCAGGGTCTTCAGCCTCTTGTAAGATCAAACTTAAGACAGCTTCACTTGTAATCCAAGTTTATGTGAGGAATCCTAGCTAAATCCTTGATGTTGCTTATACATCTGATCGAAGGGAAAGGTTCGTGTTTACCTGAGAACTCTATTGGACATTTTAACATGTATTATGTGGAAAAGCATGCCGAAGTGATAAAGTAACAATTGATTCATGGCTATCTAGCAGAGTCTAGAAATGCCACCTTGGGATGACATGGATCGAAGATACAGTTACTTTGCTTTTCCATGTGAAGAATGCTGCTTCTTCCCAGCTGAGCTATTGTGTAACGTAGATGACTCTCTGGAGGAAGAGTTTGCTGCACATTTGCACTATGTTTTAGCTACTATCAACATTTATATTCCATTGGCATTTGAGGGTAAGCACTAATTAGCATAATCATCAATGCTTTAAAATTAAAAATTCCTCCAAGAGACACAGGAGGGATTGAAACTGTTTCCTTCCCCCAGAGGCAAATCCTTTCCCAAGCTATCTGCTGCACCAAAAGGTTTTATTCTAGAAACATTCCCAAGCTATGCCCAAGAGTAAATTAAACTACAGCAAACTTGTAAACTCGAGAGTGTGTGTGTGTGTGTGTGTGTGTAGCAAGCAGGCCCTGATTTGACAATTACTACATGACAAAATGTTGTCGCTATTTCCCACTCCTATTTTGTTTTGACTGCTGCTCTGTGCTGCTGTGTCACCTTTGCTGTGTGGGCTGGAACAATCAAGAAGTGTTTGTGGAGTCTGAAGTTTTTACACTACACAGGAAAGATTCTGGTGTCTTCACAAGCTAGAAAGCAAAGGGTTTAATGACACTGCCCTCTTCTAGAACTTGCCTCAAGCTCCCCAAGTCAGGAGCTGGCCTAAAAAAATCTCAAGAGCCATTCTTTTCTACACTATTTTAGAGTGGATTTTTACTCTGGTTCCAAAATGATTCATTGACAACAAAAACCTCAGACTGGATTTCCGGCTTAAAGAGACTCCTCTTTATGGAGAATAAGGTCCCAGCAAAACCTTGGGGGAACTTCAAGTTTGAAAGGTAACGTCCATACCTTGGAAATGTCCCCTAAGAGTCGATCTTTAAATTTCTACATTCCTGCCTTTGGGAGGTGACAATGGGCCTCGGCTCCCATTAATAGCAGGTGTGGTCAAAGATGGGTGTCCTAGGTGTGGGTTTGTTGTGTCTCAAAGAATCCTCACATCCTCAGCAGGTCTTCAAGTGGTGGGCCATGAAACCTCAGGGAGCAGGAATAGTTAAATGTTGTAATTGTTCTTGAACTGGCCAGAGAGAAAAATTAGTGGTTTTCCAAAGGAAATATTTCTTTCAGAGGGAAACACTAACAAACACAGGTGTTTCTTAAAAGAAAACAATTGTGTTTACAAACTCACAATTCTTGTTATTTCTGCATAAGACAAACACCACCAAACCCTACACTGAGTAAAGATGGGGACTCTGCAAGAAAGAGTGGCACAGAAATCTCCATGAAAATTTCAGAATCTGCAGGACATTGAACATATGTATTGTTTTCTTGGTATCCTGTTTTTTTCAGAGAGATGGACTTAAACTTCATTGGCAGAAATTCTATCTTTTATCTTTATCTCCTGTTTTGATGTGGTAGCCATGGAGAAAAGCCCAAGATTAGTAACAGTAGGTTGTTGCAGAATAAGAATAACTCTCTACTTGGATTTAGACTGTAGTAATACTCGGGGTTTTGTTTAACTGGAAGTACTCAGATTGCATAGAATAAATAGTAGGTGCTGTTAGGACATTGATCACCCATCCCATTCACTTCTATCCACCTTGAACTAAACGCTGGTAATCTTCTGTCTTTTCTGAGGGATGTTTAGGTGGCTTCCACAGGGTAGGGGTAGTAGGCTCTCTGTGCCTACAACTTTTGGAAACGATGGTTAGTTCTCTTGAAGGTCAATGTGTTTATGCTTTTGCCCTGCTACAGACATCAGGGCACCCAGACCCTTGGAATTTGGTTCCGTTTGGCTAATAATGAATGAAATGGGCCATATTCTGAAGCTGAGTTGCCTCAGGCTCCACAAGAAAGCCAAACTAAAAAATACTACTTTAACGGCAGTGTCTAGCAATGAATTTCGAGATTCCCTCTGGAAGCCCACAGTGAGAAACTTCAGAGAAAGGAAGGGGGTGGTGAATCTTTTCTCTGAGAACCTAGGAAGAGACAGAATGCCTTTGCCAGTGGCATGGGCTAAGAAAGCAGGACAGTGGTAGGAACAAAGACACCACACCTAGCTCTTGTTTGCTACTGGCAAAGCAGGCTATGGGTGGGATTAGTAAATGTTTGACCATAAAGTTTGTTTCCCTAATTCAGCTGATATCCATGGTGTCTGGTATGTTACTTGATTTGCCTCTCCTCAGCACGTAGCTTCAAGCACGTTTTGCAACTTTTCTTTAGAAAACTATTTTGCATTTTACAGCAACATACAAACCAGAGCTCTTGCAGCATATTTAGGAAGAAAGGAATTTACACTGCTTTTGCTGGGATGACATTCTAGGATGACAGAGACACATAGTGACACATAGAGATAATACCACATATTGTTAAGTTCTACCAGCCAATGTGCTTCTACAATGTAAATCTTGTTTCCAAATGATCACAGCTAATGTCCTGTTTTGATTCATGGTGGTGGAAACTAGGTGCGGATGACTGGCTAATTTTAAGGCTACAGAGAAAAGGCAGATTGTCAGAGACCAGGATCTGCTTGAAGACTGGCTTCTGAATTAAAACTAATTGGTAGCTTCCTTTGATGGCCCTTTTGCATCTGGATGAGAAAGATCCAAGAGAACTCATTTTTCTTACTTATTTCCCTCCTTCATTTTAGCAGGTGATGTCAGGATGCCATCATGACTTCTGTAGGGTTTTTTTTTGAGAAGATAAAATAGTTGTTTGATTAGTAAATGTAAAAGATCTGTATTTTCTGCTGGTTTTTCATTGCTAAAGATCTGGTAGATCTTAAGATCAAGGTTATTAAAAACAGCTTATGACATTTCTTAGGTCAGACACTCTTTTGAATGTCTACTGTAGGTTTGGTGTTAAAATCAGAGTGATATTAAAAAGCATGTCTGATCATGGCATGTAAGAATTTTCTTGGGTATTGTCTTGTGAAGAGATGACAAGTCTGCAGCATTTAGAGTACAATTCTTTTACAACTGAAGTCAGTAAGGAATATTAACACTTAGTGGAAGTAGAAAAGGATCATCACCGAATCCATGAGGCTGTTTCTTAACACCGGGAGTACCTTCTCACATCTGAAAAGGTTTCACTTTAGCTCAGTTATTACCATTTATTACAATACCTCATAACCCCCCCGCCCCAATCCTCCCTGGACAAATGCAAAAAAAAAAAAGTCCGTGCTCCAAACAGCTTAGGAGCTAGAACAAATTAAGAGGGAGCTTTTGAGAGCAGCAGAGTTCAGGTAAACAACCTACTAATCATCAGACAGACATTGGTATTGATACGTAAGTAGTTTAGTGAGCCTCGGCTTCTTTGTGCACATTGCAAGCAAAGCGTTCTAATGAGGGGTTCAAAGGAAGGAAAGAGGAAGCCACGCAGGTATCATCAGGGAGCTTGTCGCAAGCATGGGAGAAAATATAGCTTAATTGGTTCATACTCTTTCTTATGTTTATAAAAGAGCCATTTAGACTGCAGGGAACGCCTGTCTTAGCAAGACGTCCAGCCGTTCCTTGATGTGGGAAATGCTCAACACTGGGGTCATTAAACTGTACTCATTAGCATCAGGAAGGTGTCACACGTGTGCCGGGCTCTTCTCACACAGAAAGGACCAGGGCCTCGAAGTCCTGTTACAGCTCGTAGTCTCTCTGATGCATTTGGGTGAGTAGGTGGTGTCAGAGCTGCACCACTCAAGTGACTGTGGTTGGAAGCGTTACGCTGCAGAGTCATGGGTAAAGATGTCTCTGAGGGTGTCGGGCTAACACGTGAGAAGTATGTGCAGCACCAGTTCTTGTTACCTTTTCAAGACGAGGTGTAGGTTGCATGCTCGCTATGATGATTTAATAGGTCTAATGATTATGTAGGGTCAAAGAGAGGGTGTAGCTTCACTCCAGGTTTTGCACATAATCTTCTGAAACATTCAGTGCAACTAGCAACCTCTACCAGCTTGTGTACACAGCGGGATAATTGGGCCCTTTCCTGTCTCTTGGCATCTTTTTTTTCTCCTGTGGGGCAATTCTGGTTTTATTGCTGGAGCCATAATCCCCAAACTGCATGGAGGAGGGATTTCAGAGAGAGGCTAACAAGCAGTACGAGCCAGGCAGACTGAACAGTCCGTGTTACTGTTACAGGAGGTCTCCCATATGGCACACAGCTACGCTGGCAGGACAGCATGGCCTGCTGCTGCTTCGCAATCTGAGGGTATAAACTCAGGTCTTTTGCTAGCCATATATTCCCTAGTCGCTTTGCCACCAAACCGAATAATGAAAAAACGTCTCTTTACTACCCAGATACCCTGCTTTCTTTTAAAATGGCAGCACCTCTAAGGAAAATGGAAAGCAATTCTGTCCTCAGGTGACAGTTGCAATTGTTTCCTATTTCTGCAACTTGCAGCAGTAGGCCAGGGAACTGGAAAGGGCCTCATAAAAGTCTGCCAGGTAAAGACTTCAAGATTATAGCTCCTGAGAAAGAAGGTAAATAGCATGTATTGAAAAATGGATTGAAAAAATAATGCAGTGGTACTTCACCACTACCTTTCTTGCTGCACAGTCCTTGCAGGGCTTGTGTAAGAACCTGGTCTCTGCAAAACCTGCTGCCTCTCTTTTCACAGATCATGGCAGAATTCCCATCCTTTTCCTCTTGCCTCACTCCACCATTGTGTAACCCTATAGCATGTGTGGCATACAAGCTAAGTGCTACGAACAGATTCAGATTTTTTTCACTGTCTTCTCATTTCCTTGTATAGTCATTTATAGGAAAAAGCTGAAATACCACTTCTGGTTATACAGTACTTTTGTTTCTTCCCTGTGGAAGCACCAGGAGAGAAGGATGGCATACAGAGGGACCATATATGGTCCTCAGGGCACATCGGAGCACCGCACACCTCGTCTCCCCAGACCCCAACGACCTCGGCGGGGCCTGTTACACCCAGACCTG